TGCTAATCCAATAAACCATTTATTTCAGTGCTGACTTTCAAGTGCAATTATCTTGCTATCTGCTATCTTGCTGACTCAGCCAGCAGTTTGGGTATTTTCTTGAGTTCTCTCTGTGTGAAGAAGGCATCACCCAGAATAAAGCACTCGCTTGTTAGTAGCTACTTTAAGGAATGCACCAAGGTCACCCTTTCGAGTACCTGTTCAACCCAACAGCAACCGATACCTCTGATCATCCAAACGTGCTTAAGTGTCCTCTTATCATCATGACCACGGCACTGCTCAGGCATCGAGATTCCCCTCTTTGCTGTGCCGAGGGACCACGCTGCTTGGCCATGTCAACACTGCTGATACAACATGAACCTTCACAGGCTCCTGTGTTTCTCCCCTGGCTGGATAAGAGCTTGCTTCTACCCTCAGTTTTGCTGCCGTCACTCAATTAAAAACCACTTCCATCGGAACTACTCAATAGTGCAATGGCAGGAATATCGAACCCCGTCTGTACTTTCTGCCTCTACCCTCTGAGACCCAATTTTAGGGCCTAAGGCTTTTGCAGAACCACAGTGGATAAAGAAGTTTATCCCCTCTGTGAAGCCTAGGAGTGCAGCAGACAAGGTGACAGGTGCCCACTTCCATAGACAGGGTATATCTTGTATCTTCTCCCCCAGCCTCCTAAAGATTTACGCTCTGCCTGTAGCCCTGGTGTAGAAGCACAGAACACCTCTTGCTCTCCTTGTCTCTTTGTAAACAACTGCGTCCTTCAAGAACATGATCATTATCCGCAGTGATAAATCAACTGCCATCAATGAACAAGTGAGAGCACACGACCCTGTCTTTCCTAGCAGCACGTAAGGAGATAGTTTCTGTGACTGCAACAGCAAGCCAAGGCAGTGGAAAATAATGTACTAACATCAGTAGCGAGGCTGACCTGTGCATTTGATTTGACTGAGAGTGTCAGTGTGCCATTTCTGTCCTTTGCTTGGAGCATGGCATAGCTCAGGGGTAAAGTCTGAGCAGGCTACAGACTCATTTCTAGAAATGAAGGTGAAGGGGGGGGTCTCATCCTGATCGAGCTAATGATGAAATAGCTGTTGTCACCAGAGCTTGGAAGTAACCCAACAGAGAGGCCTGTAGGTGCCACCCCAGCCAACCCTTAGTGACATCAGGGTGATAAAGACTGTGGCGTCAGCTCTTCAATTTATACTACAAAGAAAACCGGGTAACACAAACCCCAGGCCTCAGGGATGGAGGCTGGGGTGGTGACTGTGAAGAAGATAAAGAACCTCAGGTGGTGTCAGAATATTTTTCTTGCAGAATAATTATTTTTACTTACCAGTCCTCCCCTTTACACATCCATCCATCCATCTACTAACCTGTTCATTTCTAGACCTCCAAAGAGGCTTTCCTTAAAAGTATCACATCCTTTTGCTGTCCCTCAGCCACCTGCCAGCCATTAGACATGACTTCTCTGTTACACAGCCCATGCCATGTGCCACACTCAGCAAGGGTAAGTCCCTCTCTGATCCAGCTGCTGTCTCTAGAAGTTAGTGAGAAGACTCACTTTGCTCTCCTTTATCTTCAGGAGGGTACATCAGCCTGGGCTGAAGCCATTTTCACAAAGAGATGAACTTCTAACCTTCCTCTCCAGTAACACAGCACTGCTTCTTGGATCTTTTGTCTCTGCTGCACTGAATGACAAGGCAGAGAGATTAAACCAACCAGAGTTTTTTCTTTCATTTTGTTTAAATCTGCTTTTGTATTTTTGTTTGCACTCTCCAACCTCTCTTTGCATTCCTTGCCTGGTTATTGATCACAAGCTTGGGTGGTTTGTTTGGTTTTTTTTTTTCATTCTTTACTTAGATGTATTGATAAGGCATACCCTGCCCGTTCCTTCAGTTTCTTATCTGTTATTCCATCTTTGGATACAAGTTTGTTAAAAACCAGAATGCCAATAACCATGTTCACCTGTCAAAAGAGAAACAACACACAATTTTGTTCTCAAGTGGGTCAGGTCAAACTTGGTAGCATAGAAGGAAAAAAACCCAACATTTGGCAAGCTAAGTCCTTCCCGTTTCTCCCAAAGCCAGGTAGTACAGTCACACTTCTGCAGGCCACCACCCCTTCCGTTCCCTCTCCACCCTGTCCCACCTCCCCTGGCCACGCATCCGTGAGTTCAGGAGAGCAGTATGCAGCTGGCAGCAGATCAGAGAGGTCTCCATGAACCAGGACAAGACTGTAAAATGCTCAGACGCCTGCTGGGCTGTTTGAAGCCCAATGCATGCTTGAGGTCTAACATGGCAAACTCCAGGCACAAGAACAATTTTTCAGGGCAATACAAATACAAATTGGCAAATACAGGGGACAGCAGTGGGTTGACACCAGCTACTTTCAGAAATGCCTTCTGGAGTCTGTACTACCAAGGCAGCACCATTAAGAGGATTGGGTGGTGCAGTGTAGACAGCTTGTCACTCTTCTTGCTTGGTGAACCAGCACCACTGCTCTCAAAATAAGAGGTGGAGGAGCACTGGATCAAGTAGAAACATCAGCTACTATGGTGGAATGTCTTGGGAGATACCGCAGCTGGCACAGCACGTAGATTAGCTATCTAGTCATTTCCAAAAAAATTCCAGGGGCAGGATAACTGCATGCTGCCCAATGGTCTACTTTGTTAAGGTGAGAGCATGGATGTCTGTATCAATCGGGTATAAATATCCATAGTGAAATACGGGCTGTACAGAGCTGAGGTCTTTCAAAGCGATCCTAAACTTCTCATTGTGCCTTTCTGACGGCATTCACTGCTGCCAGCTGCATCTGTTTTACAAACCTCATCCAAACCTCAGCAACCTTTGAATGTGAACACATTAGTGAGACACGAGCACCACCCTCTTCATGGAGGCACAGCACTGATGGTGGAAAAAAGTGACACTCTCCTGGTTTTGCTGCCAGTGAAACATCTGATGTTGATAGAACAATGTGCTAGATGCTCTTTTGCATATGGGGCTTGCAAGGGAACATTTAAGGACAAATTCAGAGACGTGCAACACTACACGATAGCTGAGAGCCTTGGTGAGTTTAATAGACCCTTGAGAGGTGATCCTAAGAGACACCTAGTACAACACCTAGCCCAAAGGAAAGGAGATGTCTGCTCAAGCCAAACCTCCACTAAATTGGCTAAATCATCCTTAAAAACGACCAACCTTTCTGAGTTTGGATTGCTGGCTTAAACGACCCAGCTCACTGATGCGGAGTCCACAGCTGGGAATAAATGGAAGATCTCACAAATAGCAGTTATTTTCTTTTGCCTCAGCTGCTGGGTCAGTGGACTACTCTCCACAGCTGCGTGTCCATTTCTAGAGCTCACCATGGTATTGTTTCAGAGAAAAAACACTGGCAAGTCAGACACAGTAACTCAGCCAAGGATCAGCAAAAAAAATCTAGTTATGTGCTTGGAGAGAGGGAGAGCACTTTCAGTTTGCTGATCCTTCTTCACTGTGCTGGAGGCTGGTCAGTGCAAGAGAGACTTTTCTTTAAGGTGCAGCAAGGCAGTAGAAAAGATGGGGTTGAAGTGTGGCAGGCTGGATTGCTCCTGGGGCTGGCTACAACCCAGTGTGTGTTCTCATTCACATATAGCAGGGGAGATGACAAACAATTGTTTTAATAAATAAAAGCTATTTTATCCAGTACATTGATCATTACGATCGACATCTTGCTCTGATCCTGGCTCTGTTCCTTTGTAAAGTCAGGGATATAACATGGACACGCTTCTAAACACAGCCACTTTGGATAACATGCACTGTAGCTTTACTGCCTTATCTCTGGGATGCTATCCAGCAGCAAAGACACAAGTCTGAGATTTAGCCCTTGAGATAACCCAAACCTGATGACTGATGACTCTCTCTCCTGACTTCACCATGCCATGAGTCTCTCCCTGCAGCAACCTGTTGCCTTCAACCTACACGCAATCATCACCCGGCTGCTTCAGCTGAGCTAGGCGAGTAAAACTACTTGCAACAGCTCTGCATTTCAGGTTGGTGGGATTTTTAAGACTAAAGATCAAACCTTTGCTGGTGTTCAGTGTTAGCAGACTGGCTGCAAGTTGCAAATATTGCTGAAGCTGCAGGGCAACCATCTTAATACTCTCCAAGCCACAGGCCTTTTTTCCAATGTGGAGAATAATAAGGGAGGGTGTGGAGGAAGAAGGTTACTACAGGTCATAGAAAAATCACATTGGTAGGAGAGCTGCAGTGCAGGGATGCTTGAATGGCTTGGGAGGAGTGAGCACAAGTCTAGCCTAGCCAGGACTAAGGCAGAGGTAACAAGCTCAGCTGTAGCTGGCAGCTATGTGCAAAGTCACCTGGGCATCTATGTATCATACCCATCAGAGTTCTGGGTGAGAAAGAGCTTGGGCACAGAGTCAAGTCCTACCTTGATCTGCACACCTCTGCACAACAGCAGCTGTATTGTCTCTGGAGCAAATCTGTCCTGAAAGCAGCACAGCTTCATATCCTCTGTACAGCCCTGCAAAAGCCTGACTGTCCTTATGTTGACCCAGGTGGACTCTCCCTCCATCACTGATGTGGTCAACCTGAAATCAGGACGAAGTACATGGAGAAGAGAAAGCTGTCCAGTCCTGTGGGCAGTGCACGCTTGAGAACTGTGTGTTCAACTTCTGGCTCTGCTAAAAGGTCACAGCGTGAATTTGGGCAACTTAATGAACTTATCTGTTTGTTCCCATTTATAAAAAGGCTTTTGATGCTTCTTCTTCCCCGAGCTCCTCAGTATATATACCAACTTGGGCAGCATTCACTTCTCACTTTAGCCAGCAATGGCTAGCAACTAGTTGGTCTAAACTAGGCGTGTGGGCTCTCTCTCTAGGTACTGAATAGGGACAGGCATCTCCAGAGATGATTCACCACTTCCTATGCTCAGCTGTATGAACAACCACTTGCAGGTGTTGAACTCTCTGTAAGGGCATCTCCATTTTCAGCTTCGATGGTGAGTGAAAACTGAGATGCCAAATGGAAGCAGGCTCATGTGGTTTTTCTCATGCTTTAAAAACGCTAAGGAAAGCCAAAAGATTGCTTCTCTTGGCTTTAGCACAACAAAAGCAAGATGGCTTGAGGCAGCAGATTGACTCCCCCTTCTCTGGGCACTACCAAAGCTCCCTGCCTCCTAATCACTGCTGTCTATTGAACATTCAAGCCACTGAGCCAGAGTTATCGGGGCAAAAAGCTAGTTCCCGTGAAAGCACTAAGCCACTTAATGCTCCTGTCGATTATCCTGGCTATAAAGAAGACCCTGACCCCCATCAGCTACATTACTGAGGGAAATCCAACTATCACGTGCCTACAGAGATCTAATGACTGACTGGCATGAACATCTGCTTATCCCCACTCCTTGCTGCCTGCTATCTGTGTTGCAGCCCTATGCTAAAGACCCTAAATTGATACTAGCTTTGCTTTGTTTTAGAGGAAGGGCAACTGCAGGCTTGTCTCTTTGTCATTGTGATAAAACAGTGGCACCAAGGTGGTTTGATGTGTGATGACAGCAGTGAGAATAGAGGCAGGGAGACCTTTTTGTGTAGCTATTCTCCTGCAAGCCTGCTCCTGCTGCAGGGCAGTTAACCCCCCAGGCACTGCATGAAACAAAAGCCTGATCTGGAAAAGAAATTGTGAGTGTCAACAACCCCACTCCTGTGGGACCCTCCAGGGCAGTTGAGCCTTAGAGGATGTACAGCTCCTCCACCGGATAAAATACTGGGCTAGAGAGAAACTGCAGACTGTCACTGACACGGAGAGGCTCCAATGTGGTGTTAAACCCATCTGAAATTGCTGCAGGAGGGATTTCCTAGAGGACCAGCAGTTATGAAATTCTTTGAACCCTGACAGTCAAGATTTCTCATGGCCAGTGAGGCTTCAACAGCAGGGAAGCTTGATGAAAGGTAAGTCATCTCCTGAGTGACACCTTCAACTCAGGTAATAACTGGCCAAGACTGGCTTTGGTGCTGTGTTGGAGCCAAGGGTGAGGGGACAGCAGGACAGACTCCCCACCATGCATGAGCTGATGGGGCAGAGTTTAGGAATGTTCACTTTAACGATGCCATCCCTTTGAACTAGAAGCAAACGCGACATTTTTAGGGTCACAAAGGACCACCTCGGCACTGACTTGAGGACCTCCATTTCACCTGCAAATATGGAAGCTGCTCACATGCACCGGCTACCTGGGACAGACCAGAAATAAAGCTGGCTGTGGAGGCAGAGCCCGGTCTGAAAGCAACCAGTAACTGCACTTTCCAAAGGAGTTAATGTCAGAGTTTTCCACCATCACCCTGCACTTCCATCCAGATAGGGCAAAACCAAGGTAAAGCATCAATCAGATGTCTAGAGGACCTCAGAGAGGAAAGAGAGGAAGGCTGAGATCTGAGGCATATGATATTTCAGAATCAAACCCACCCCAGACTGCTGGCTTCTAACACTTTGCTTTTCATTCCTGAAGGAGAAAGCTATTCAAAACATGAGTGGAAACAGAGAGGGGCATTCTTGGATTGAAAGAACGAGGAAAGTGCTATAAGATAAAAAAGAAAAAAAAAAAAAAGCTTTCAGCCAAGCTTAAATACCAAAACAACAGCAGCCGCAGGTCCCACGAAGGCATAGAGAAGACCTCCCTCTAACGACAGCCAGCAGCTGGAAAATGAAGAGAGAAAAGCAAGTTACCCAGTGGCTAGCATCACTGACAGGCGCATGTTTGCTGCTTCTCTTTGCCTGCAGAGTTCATCCTGGGAGGTGATACCCCACAGCAAAAAAAGTCTCAGACTTTACAGCAAGCAAGTTTTGCTTCCCACTTCTCCTGAACTTACATAAAGGCTTATTTGCCTGGGGCTCTGCCAGCAGAATGGCTGTTGATTGTCGACGGAGGAATGCATGCAAAAATAATGATAATGCTCTGTTTCAGACCAGGTCTTGGAAGCAGTTGCATCAGTTTGCTGGCAAGACGATGCTCTTGTCCTACTCACTCAGGCAAAAGAGTAGAAACAGTGGAAATTGTCCCTTGCTCATTTGCTAACCACTATGCCTGCCGGGGACTCAGGTCCAGGAGTGCGGTGCATTTCTTCTGGATCCTCCATTTGAGCTTGCTGCCATGGGGAAATTTTACAACACAGCAGCGAGGTGAGAATCCACAGCACTCCTTAAGTGGATGTTCTTAAGGAATGAGCTGAATGTGAGGTATGTGGCGCCTCTTCTGGAAACCAGATTGTTTCTTCTCCTTCACACCATGTAACCTAAGAAGGACTTCTCCTTTTTCTACTTGACCACGTGTGGAATTTAGGCTCCTAAACTGCCTGGTGCCTACACAAACTGAGGGGGCTCTTCTGACTAAGTGCTGATGTCTGCCCTATTGGTCCCTACCGCAGAGCCAGTCACTCTTGATGACATTTGTAGTCGGCAGAGATCCAACCAAAAGTGTCCAGGATGATGCATCTACATTCAATCAGATAAATCACATCCTGAACTCCATTGACTGCCTTGACCATATCTTCACCATCCAAGTAAGCAGAACACCTAACCCAGATGGAGACATTACTGGGGAGATGAATCCCATCTGTCATATAAACAGTATGAATATGCTCCAGGGGTCCCCACAGAGCTTCCACTGCACCGCACATTTACATGCAGATCCCACTGCACACTGACACACCCATACTGACAAACTTGGTGTAAAAAATGAAGCAAAGAAAGGCAGGGGAAATCTCACCCTGCTCCCATCGTTGGAGCTGAGCATCACAGGGACTGGACAGCCAACAGGGATTTTCAGATTGACCGTAAAGTCAGGAAGGAAACACTTTTTCACTGTGACACTGACCGAGTCTGGCAAAGGATGAGCAGAGGGGTTGTGGAGTTCATCCTTGGAGACATTCAGAAGATGTCTGGGCACCATCCTGATCAGCCAACTCTAGGTGATCCTGCTTGAGCAGTGGGGCAGTTGGACCAGATGGCCTACAGAGATCCCTTCCCACCTCAACCAGTCTGTGACTCTAGGACCGTCATGAACAGTTACAGCAGCACTGGAGCTGAAATTTCCATTTTGTGGGGAATACAGCAATTCAGAGCACGGACATATAAACCAGGTACTTCAGGGCAAGAGAGGATGCAAATTTGCACTGTGTCAGCAACCCCACAGAAAGTTTGCATGCTTTGACATCGCAGTACCCTGGAGAAAATGTGCGATGAAATAATCCTGTTTCAGCAGTAAACCACCGTGCCTTTACCACAGGTTAAGAGCAGGCAACCACAATGGAGTGAGGACTTTCTCAAAGCTCTTAACCTAGATAACCCTGCAATAATTCAGTTACGTGCCTGTACTCCCAGCAATACTGTTTCATTCTGCATCAGGAGCAAACTCATGCTGCCTTTCAGTGTCTACCAGGAAACAAAGCCTTCCTGGAAACATTTCAATTTTGTTGATCGGTCTCATATGCTTTTGTATCGATTCTGACTTGCAAAAAAAATGTTATTTATTTTTGCCCCAAAACACAGAACATTTGGGAAAAGAAAAAAAAAAAAGGTATTTCAAATTGAAAATTGAAAGCAGGACATTCTGGTTTTCTCCGAGGCCTGCATCTTGTTTATTTCTAAATTAAACCTGTAATGTGTTAATTTAATCAATTCTGATTTCTTCCTGATAGCAAGTTGCTCTGTTCACAAACTATCTGAGCAGCTGTAATAATAAATTGAATAATCAGCTGGGGAGGGAGGGGAGTAAGAATGAAGCTTTGGAGGGCTGCAATAACTAGAGGTGTCCCTAAATGCAAGGAGAGGGCAGGGGCAATCAGAGGAGCTCCCAAATCCCAGTCCTTGCCCAGAACGTTTCCTCCAACACTCTAGCCCAATTTTGAGGCCGTTTTTCCTAGGGTCTCTTCCAACCGACAGCTCAGCCAAAGAAAGGAGCTGACAGGCCTGCACTCCAATTAGCGATGAGGACTGGGTGCAACGAGGGCTCTCGTTCCTGTCAGGTCCCTGGCAGCCCCTCTTCCCCTCTGAGCACCAGGCTTTCTGAAGGCGAGTTCACACATCACCAAGCACTGGTCTTTATCCCTTCTGACTGCCTGAACTCCCTGCCACAGTGCTTAATTGAAGCATTTCCAAGGCTGTCAGAGGTGGTGGCTGACAGCAAGGGGAGGGAAAGGGTGAAGTGATATCCAAGAAGGGGAACCGACAGCAAACTCCAGCAATGTATTAGTCGAGTGGAGATGCTTTTAGCCTTGTGCCTACAAGGCACAGAAATATTTGCATTTCGCTAAGAGGTTCCCCAGTACTTGCCAAGGGAACTCTTCACAGATCTGTTAAATAAAACTACCACTGGAAGGGAGTAACTGAATGGTTTAACAATGCTCAGCAGCTCCAGACTATTTCTAAGCAGCAGTTCCCCGACTGACAGCAGCTCTTGTGTTTGATGTGAGAGACCTCTTTGCAAAAACATCTGATCCTTTTGTGAATCTGCCACAGCGAAGGCGTGAGATGGATGGCTTTTGTCTTGGTCCTGCAAAGAGCTGACTTCCACCGAGACCTTCTTGACTGCACTGTACAGCTCTGCCAGCAACAGGTCTCACCTCGATCGTGTGCAAACTTAAGTAGCCCCAATGCAACAGCCAACATATTTGTGTAACTAAGACTACAGCTGGAAGTCAGGGCTGTCTCACCAGTGTTAATTTAGAGATTAATATATAGAAGCTGCTGAGACACATGTAGGTGACAGAAGCCCTGATGCAACAACACACAAGGGCCCCTGGAAATTCGCTGTGTCCTGCCATTGCTCTCAGAAAAAATTTCGTGGGCTCTCTTGTGGGGAAGGATATGAGTTCCCAGCTACCAGCAGCACAACCTCAATTACTCATTCAAGCTTTAGGAGGCAGTTTGGCAAGCTTTAGAGGTCCAGAGTCAGTCCCTGGAGTATCAGCTAAAAGGAGAGTTAGTATTCAGGCATTCAGCCTAATACAAGGAGGTGAGCAGTGGCAGGTCCTTTAGACCTCCACTATCCCTAAGACTTTCTTTGAGACTGGAAGTACAGCCTGGACCCTACCCCAGCAGCTCTCCAAACAACTGCAAAATCGCCTTTCAAACGTTGTTCAGATAAGAAAAAGGAAAAATCCCCTTGTGCCCTCCTCTCCTCACTGTAGATGGAGGGTTCATAGCTCTCTGGAATAAGTGTCCTGAGCAATAAAGGCCTCTGAGTGAAAGGCTGCTGAGGAATCACCACTCAGAACACAACGAGACACAGTCCAAATCCTGTAGCCCATATTCAATCTATAATTTGGACCTCTGTCTCTCCCTTCTCATCTTACCACTCGGTGGCCCAGTTTGGCCAGCTAAAGGGTAAATATTAAATATCTTCTACTACATTCCCACATGTAGCACCGTCTCTGATCTCTCTGTGTTACGGCTTGGAGACACGGCCGACCCCCTCGACTGCTACCACATCTGGATGGGACAGGCCTCCATACTGCTGCTTAGTTGTGCTTTTATTGTTACAGAATAGTTTCATCCCACGTACAAAAAAAAAGACAGGATAAAGCTAGATGAAATCTTGCTTAGGGCCCAGGTAGACAACCCTGTTGTAGGTTCCTCCTTTAACTTGCTCAACTGCAGTTGGCCACCTTGGCACACCCTGTAGATGAACAGTTTCGGTCATTGTGACACAGAGACACATTATGTATCTCACACACTGTCCCTTCCCCCAGTGTTTCCCTGGAAGCCTGTAACAGCAAGATTAGTGCTGCAATGCCTTCAACCGTCACAGCTGTCCCCAAAATGCTCTCATGACCACGTCCTATAGATGGATGTCAGGGGTTTTTTACCACTGCGAGTGGGATGAGAAAAAAACCTGATGTTGAGCGTCAAACACTCAACTAAATATCTCAGCCCTGCTCTGTCTTGATGCCCATCTCCATAAGAAAACCAAAGGGTGCTAATGCACTGCTCTTAGGATCCAGAAATCACAGGGTTGGAAGAAGCTTTGAAAGACACCGTGAAGTCCCTTGTGGTTTCTCATAGCAGCTCTTGTCCCCTGCTTCACAGGGAGGGGACGTGTTGTGGCTAAGGTCTTTCCTTCCCTCTGCAAGATGGAAACATCGTGCCTTGGAAGTCTGTCACTGCCCATTTGAAATGCCCTGTGTGTGTCCTATACTGACTAGACACAAAGCTAAAATAACTCCTGAGCTCTAGCTCCAAGCTTTGCAACTACTCCACAGATTTCTGCAATGGCCAGAAACCGATAAATGCCCTGGGAAAAGCTCTGACTCAAGTCTGTATTCTGCTTATATGACTTTAGCATTAGACTGTTAAATCTAGGTCTGAATAACCTCAAGTTTTGGAGTTCAGGTCTGAAATGAGTGCTATGTAATGCTGACTTTGCTCTAGAAGAGAGGTTAAACCAAGGGCCTCCCCACACATAAACATCAGAGAGCTTTTATGCCTTTTGAGCAGGAAAACAGGGATAAGTGTGAACGCACTGCAGTCTGTCGGGGCACCCTGCCTAGCTTGGACCACACAAATATTTGTTACATGTTTTAAAATGCACTAGTATGCATATGTAACTCTCGCTACAGTGATGCTCAGCACGATTTTGTGCTCAGCATCATGGCTCATGAACCCACCATGCCATCCACCTGGTGCAGCAGAGTGCACTCACCTGCCCCTTGCTGCATGGAGGGGACATTCATGCTGCCTGGGGCATGAGTACAGGTCAGCTCTGTTTAGCTCTGGCTTTTGGTAAAGCCAACAGCAGGACAAGATGGAAGCATTAGGAATGTCTGAGGGGCTCTCTGTCGTTGAGAGGAACTGTTGCTCCTCTCACAACTTTGCTGGGACTCACCAGCTTTACCACGTACTGGGCTGCAGTGTGAAAGGGAGACGAAAGGAGGACCAAACTGGACTTGCCAGAGTGCAAACGTCCCTTGCTATTTTGGTGACAAGCACCCTGAGGACAGAGCTAGGAAACAGTGTCACTTGGGCTGCAGCTCCTGCTGGGAACATAAGATCCCCTGCCATCCCCCAGGCAGCCGGCCAGCCTGCCGGGCAGGGAGGCAGGCAGCATCCAGCCCTTAGATGCAAGGAGTGACAAAGTCTTTAGGGATGAAAGGAGTCAGAGGATTAGCAGCAAAAGGAGGAGAGCTGGTATGGTTAAGCATGCCCTGGGAATGATGGAAAGTCAGGGCAGCTTGTTGGCCACCTCGTCGGTGTGCCAATCTGAGAGTGAAGCAGGAGGACAGCAGGTTTTGTCACTTGTTGACACCCTTTTGGCTGAGGGCTTTGCTCTGGGGTGGGGAGATATTATCATGCAGTGGTCCAGGGCAGTGAAATAGGGTGTGCTTTTTTGCACGTTCCTCCCTTTCCCACCCAGGCTCTTTTATGTGGTCAATGTTGACCAGAAAACTCTGTAGCGGCCCTCAAGCATCAATGGGAAGGAGCTACTGAGCTTTTTGCACCGATTCCCACCAGTCTATAAACAGGAAAGGAAGCAGAAATATTTAGGACCTCCCTCCCGTTCCCCTGATGCTTGTTCATTACGAATTGTTCTCAGAGACTTGCATGGAGTCAAGCGTCAGGAACAGCAGATCCACAGAAAAGCTAAAGGGCGTTTGGGATCTCAGTGGCACTCCTGAAAGCCAGGCTGTGTGCTGTCCTCTCTTGAGTCATACATGAAGCACTGGATCCCTCTCCACCAGGACACACTGAAGCCAAGTCACCTGAGCTGAGGTAGGCAAGTCAGGAAAGACACAGCAAATGCATCCTGATGCCAGCACAGGCTTCAGGAATTCCATCTGTGGATTTGCATTTGACAAACCCACCTTCATGAGCCCTCTGTGTTGCACAGTGATTTGGGCTGCAGTAATTTAGACTGCAAAGCAAACGGGGAATGCTGCTGTGCTGTTTTAATACTCTCCTGCAATCAAAATGCAAACCTCGAACCATTTGGTCTTGGATGTGCAGAATATGGTGGGAATTGAGAAGGACCAGGGATTCCACATGTTATTTTCTCAGTGGACCTATTGAACCCTCATCTGTTGTTGGCCACACCTCCAGGTTTTGTCTTAAATATTCTTTTCACATGGGATGCAAACCACCAGCCAGGAAGGCTCTGGATAATCATGGGTTGCAGTAGGGAAGGGCTGGATTTATTGCTACATAAAATATTATCCTTTGGCTGCCACTATGCATAAAATTTCTAAGCTATCTTTTTCATGACACAGTGAAAAAATAACACTTTCTTTTTCTTTTTCTTTTTTTTTTTTTAAAGTTGTACTAACACTCAGCTCTGAGTGATTCCAGCCTTGCCTTAATGTATTTTTTACCTCTGCATAATTTTATTCCATTATTTCTACCCTGCCTTCCTTCCCCCATTACATGCAAATAAAAGTTTCCTAAAGGCAAATCCTGTGGAATGCAGAAAACAGGCAAATTCAGATTGCTTTCAAAACCTTGGTTTGAAAAGCTCATGCTCATTCTGGTGTCTAAAACTGAGCCAAGCTATTTTGAAAACGATTGAGACCAATCAAGCAAACCATTAAATAGGTAAACATAAAAGCTATTTTTAATTTTTGAACATCTTGAACTTTAAACATTCCACATTTCCTCCTAAAAACTAAATTTTAAAAAATCTCTAGGTAGGAGGTACTTAGATCAAAGTGATGTCATATATGCAACACTTAAATCTCACTAATCCCTATGAACTTGTTTTTTAATGAATGTACAATCCACCTCAGCCAGTTGATGGCTTGAGGCAGGCTGGCTCCTTCCTCTCCTTCCCTCTGCCATGGGCAGCACACAAGAATTTAGCTCCTGCACTGGTTCCTGAGGGTCAGTGACTGGATTTTGACAAAAATGATGGAGGGTGGGACAGAAAGAAAGAAGGAAGAGGAGCTCCTTTACTCACTAGTTCACGGTGCCGTACCCCTTGGCTTTAGTAAATCCCACGGAAATGGCAACCACCAAGGCAGGGAGCCCTACAGAAATGAAACAAGAGAAAATTGGTCATTTAAGCATATGTGAGGCTCTTCTCCCACTCAACTGCATAATATACCCTGTTTTTCCCGGTGTTACTCTAGCACCATCTGTCCCAGCCTGGGTCTTTGGCAGAGACTAAATCCAGGACCTTCAGAGCCAAAAGCATGAACTCTTGTTACCTCTGCTAATGAAGTAAATGTCATCAGCTGTAATCAGCTCATATCCTGCTGTGGTCTCAGCAGTTGTGTGGGGACTGACAGTACATACAGATGCATAAAATATATTTATTTCATTCTTAGGTACACAGGCTGGCCAGGAATATATAAAGGCACCTCCTGAAGACAGAATATTCAACCACAACTCAACTCAAAGAAGCGAGAAAGGAAGAGATGAAGAGCTATGTTTGCTCTTAACACAATGTATGATGAACAACCCAGGTTCAAATCTTGCCCCAAATGAGACAGAAAAGGAAATGGAAGCTGAGTTCCCTGTATCCCAAACAGGTCCCCTAAGTGCTGGGCCACGTTCCCTAATAGAGCTGGTGCCTCTGGACAACAATGGAAAAGAGCATCAGAACATCAGGTCTCTCTGCAAACCAGGATGTTGCTTCTCTTGCCTTATTGTGTCCAAGAGGGGAATACAGTAAGAGAAACCAGCTGTCCTCATGAAGACAAGCTTCATTACAAGTGTTGCAAAGGATGAGCAAGTTACTCCGTGGCTGGGACACCACAACATCCAAAGCACAATTTACCCTCAGAGTGCCACGAGGTAATGGTGCCAGCACAGGATATTTCAGGTGCATAAGCCAGTAAAGCTATAGCCTTGCTCTTACTGCTAGAAGCTCCCATAAAATTAGAGAGAGAAGTATAAAGAAAACCTGCTGGTTATTGGCCTGAAACTCATTAAAAGTTCTGGAATTGTTGGGTCCTTGAACGCTGAAGCACAATCAGAACTAGGAAAAGACACTACATCTTGCTAATAGTCTTCTGATCCTTCTTATCCCTGCCATGATAAACTGCTCAAGGATCTATGGAGGAGATTGGATACTTTCCTGGTTCGCTAGCCCCAGCTCAGCTCTCCCCTTTCCCTAAACAAGTGCCCGGATATCGGCTAGTAACATCTGGTTCTTCAGCTATGGAGGTCTTCATGTGGCTTTTTATAGGCCTCCTCCTTGTGACACGACGAATTAAGCTGTCTCAACGCTAAAGATGGGCAAATCCCATTAAGAATTAGCAGGATCAGTAGCCAGCTAGGATTAGTGCTTCTTGACAAGACCCTAATTCTTGTGCTGTAGAGGTCATGGCAGGTGGTTGCAGAAGACACTATAGATCGAAGGGATGTGCAGACACAGCATCCAAACAATAACCTTTCTGGCAAGGTGGTAACTCAGCAGCACAAATCATCGCAAAATTGATTAATACTGAAGGTCTGCAGCCAGCTGGGAGGTATAAGGCCAAGTTGGCTGGAATATACAGCCTTTGAGAGTTATCATAATGGGAAGTGTTTCTCTTGCCAGACAAGATTTCCAAGCACAGCTCACGTTTGATCAGTCCAAAACCAACAGGCAATGGGGTTTAAAAGTCTCTTTTTATTTTTTTTCCCTTCTTTTCTTTTTTCCTTACTTGACTATTGCTCCTCTTGCTCAATCTCCTTCACACATCATCTGGATATATCCTGGGTGCTGTATTCACTACCATGCCATCAATATGGCATCCCATGGCAAGCACACCAAGAAACTACATGTGGAAGGACGTTTCAGGAGTGTAGCTTGATGCCAGAGGCCTTGTGAAAGAGGAACGTTGGCTAAAATTCTGCCCAAAACAGCAACTTGTTCTAAGCTTCTCTTAGACGTGATCATTACGCAGAAATATAGACTCAGGCTGTGAACTCGTCAGCTTACATGGGCTGGCTTGTACCAAGCCTGGGCAGGAGCCCCAGCTTGGGCTGAAAATGGATCAGTACAAGCAGCATTTACTGAAGGTAGTGGCTATGCCATGGTAGCTAAGCTAAAGGCATCGTAATGAGGGGTGCTGTACTCCTCCGCCTTGGGAGAGCTGTTAATGGTCTAATCACAGTCTGATGTGATTAGATTGAAGACAACAAAATCAAAATTGTCATTTATTTTTTGATTATTTGAAAGAAAGTTATTCACAACCAGTCTGCTCCATATACTGTGTGTGGTTTGTATGGACCTTCTCAGCAGTCACTCATGCTACGTAGTCGTCGGCGAGGTTTTGGGGGCTTTCGGCAGAAAGAGAATTTTACATTCACAATTCCAAATAAATGCATTAGAAATCTGTTTCGAAGAGTTTTGTACTGCCAGGTCAGAGGAGAATCAGGTCACGTGTCCATCACATCACAATAGACAAGGTTGGTTGCTAATAACTACCGAAGGATGTAACTGTTATGAACAACTGAAGACCCTTTTGGAGCCTGAGCCATGGCATCATTAAAAACCCAGTTGTAGAAACCACGACATGGTCGTAAAAAGACTGACTAAATTATTTCTTCTTTACTGGGGCTAAATATAATGACTGAATTGTTTCTAGGGAACAGTTTGTCTGTCTGTTCTAAATAATAATAATAGAAATATTCTCATTGCTAAAAACTCTTTTGTGGAAAGGCAAAGTTGCGTACCCAAGAGAACAGAAAAACAGGGAATAAACTTCATTGCTGATGAAAACCACTGTAGCTTCAATGAGCTACAGCTGATAGCAGCTGAGAACTTGGCAAAGATGTCTAGAAAAAGGGCTTAGAGAAATGCTAATATGCAAAGGGGGAAAAGGGGGGAGAATCAGCCCATGACAAAGTGAATTGTGCTAATTATTTCAGATTATGCTCTTTGAAACAGAGTTGCGGCCTCTTTCCTCTTATAAATTCCATTAATCCCAGCTCTGCAGCTGAAGTCTAGCTAAGTATCAGAAATTCTCTTGTTGCCTTAATCGGCGAGATTGTTCTTCATTTCTTGTCCTAACCTGTTCCAAAATGGTTGCTATGCATCATTTACCAGCCAGTGCATCCTAACTCAGAGATGACTACATTTTACTAGCAGTGCAAGTTATGCTTCTATGCATTCAGGGTGGTTTTTTTTTTTTTTAAAGCTGCTCAGACTACAAATATTGCTCATCCAAAATTCCCTTGGCTAACACGCCCATCTGTCCCAGCTTTTACAAATCAGAAAAATCCCTTTTTATTACCTAGAAAAGCTATTAGGCTGCTGCATTTGATATCCCTGATGTCCTTGAAGTTCCTTGAGTCACAGAGCGTTTGTGTACAAACGTATGCATGAACACACAGAGGCGTATGCAGCCTGTGCTTTGCACGTATGTGGCTGTGCTCCTGCTACACACAAACACTATATTTCAATAACACAATGTATTTTATATTGTAAGCAAAAGCTAGGAGTGAAAATTTAAAGGGATGCAGGTGCTGGAACGAGGACAGCCCTTGATGTGCCAGAATAAATCACATCAGGGTGCTTCGCAAGCATCAGAAATATCCTGCCTGGGGTGAAATGCTAGACTTCAGTAGTAAAACGAGACATTAATACAGCTCAGACACAGAACGCTTTCTCTCTACTTTTCTCTTTTCTTTGCCTGCTCACTTTTGAGCAACTTTTTGTTCGGTTGCTCCTTTCAAACGCACGCTTGTTATTGCTTTGAAAGCCCAGGTTATGGGTTTGTGTTTGTTTTCTACTACAGAATGCATCATTTAAGGCTAATAAATTAAACATACAGAAGAGGGAGATGGAGAAAAATTAGTTACAAGCATCTGCACCAGCCTCATAGTTTATTTGTCTACGAGAGGCCCTGCTGCCATGGAGACGGGATTTCAGAGCTTGCTTCACTCCGGGTTGCACATGGAAGGAGACAGCGAGAGAGAAAGCAAGAAAGAGACCCAAACCCAAGAGAAACCACCCCCAGCGCACCCTTTGAAAAGTCATACTCTCTCGACTCAAATCTGTTTTGTGTGACCCTTGAGTGCACTGGGCAGCAGGCAGGACTGATGGCCCTGGCTCAGAATATTTTTAACCTACTCAGCCCTTCTTGACACACTCGAAAGGGTTGCGAGCACCCTCTGCCAAGACTTCTGCAAAGCATCAGTCCCTCTTTTAGCCCAGACCCTTCACCCTCTTCATCTGCACTGCCACTGCCCCCACCCCAGGAAAGCTGCTCCACAGACCCAGGATCCTCACCCCATCCGAGACACAAGAAGCGCTTGCGGATGATGCGGTTCCGTAACCGGCCCGTCACGGCCATGTAGGACTGCCAAGCCTCAGTCAGCACCCAGCAGAAAGAGGAGAGGAAGAAGAAGTGCAAGAAAGCCGCCACCAGCGTGCATATCACCTGGAGAGAGGAGGAAAGGAGGACACGTGAGAGGAGCAGCAGGCGGAGAGAACAGCGTGTAGGAGAGCAGAAGGCGCAGGGAGGTGCTTCCAAACGAGGCTCTGGAAGGCAAGGTCGTGGAGATCAGGACAGAAAAACACATTTTAGGAGGAGGCAGTCTCCCCCACAAGCTTTTCCTAGCAAAGGACCAAAGTTTCAAATTTAAGTACTGTATGGAAATCATCTGCTCGTAAGTGTGAGCTCTAAGATAAACATGTGGTTATCACATTTGCTGAAGTCTGAGCCCACGTCCCATCCTGGTGCTTTCTTGGCTTCAGCAAGACACATTTATATTCCAAATGACCAAAACCATTGGCACGATCCTTTCGGAGAGGACAGAGCAGTCAGTAAGCCGTGCACTAATCTCAGCTCAAAAGGTTTGCAAAGTACCATGCTGTTGGCAGCCGAGCCAGAGCAATGAAATCAGAGGAAGGCAATTTAGACGGCATCCCTGCCAGGGAAGGATCGCTGAGTGGAAGAGTCAAGCCGTGAGAGCCGGGTGAAACCACGGCTGCCAGGGGCTGGTAAGGACTGCAAACATGAGTGGTGTGTAGTTGTCCAAGAGTATATAACTACTAGCAGACAGGGGGAAGAAAAAAAAAAAGAAAAAAAAAAACCCAGACATTTGCTACACCTCACCCACAGAGCGGAATTTCATAATGGTGAGCTCTACTGCTCGGTGAGGAAATCTCTCAAGGGAAACGCAGGGAGCTTAAGCCATTTAAAATTAAACTGGGGAAAGTACTAGCAAATGCATTATGAAGAACAATCCTGTAGTGCCAGGGAGATGGACTGGAAAGCTGACAAGCTCGTCTTTGTTTTTAACTGAGCAAGGCCAAATCTTTCACTGGTGAAAATTGGTGCCGCTCTGTTTAACTCTGCCAGAGCTGTGCTTAATTTCCACCATCTGCGAGCTGGAAACTGTGAATCAATGGACTCAAGAAGAAAATGATGGAAAGAAACTCCAGTGGCTCCCAAGGAGAAGGGAGAGCAAACAGACTTTAAAAGTGACTCTGAATTAAAAAAATGGCTTAAGGCATTCAGGGCAGGGGGAGGGGAAGGCTTATAATGAAGATTTTCTCTGCTTTGTGTTATATTAGGAAACACGGACTTTGGGTTTACGGTCAATGAACCTTCCTCTTTTTTCATCCACCAGCATCTTTTAACACAGAGCTCTCATGCACGGAGTGTCCTTTATCATGATTTTATGGGATTGCTCTCGATTCATACACTGGTACATACTGACAGTATCAGAGGTTGTGAATAAAAGTAAGACTGTGTTCTCTGAGACAGGAACTGTCTTTTTGCTCCATATTTGTATTTAACACTAAAACCCTTGTTATTCTGCCTATAAATGGATTCTGGATGACAGTTCAGTGCAAATAACACAGCTCAATATGATAATTTCAAGTAATTTTTCACATTTTAAAAGAATCCTAAAAAGGTGGTTGCTATTCATAAAACAGTTACAAATGCAGGATGCTTTCTGGAATACATTTTAAAAGACTGTTATTTTAGATTTTTTTTATTTTTTTTTTTTTTTGCTAACATCAGATATGACACTCTTCATTTCACCATTTTGATTTTGGTTTACACCACCACGGTTCTGTCCAGTTTGCCAGCATTCTGTAAAGGGGAGAGAAAAACTTTGTTTTCCAGTTTTTACACCAGAGAGATACATTTTCCAGGTATTTTTTCTCAATCAGGTAGTTTTGACAGAAAGGAGAAGAAAGGAGGGCAGCCCAACAGAAATATGCCCATCTCATCTGGGCCAGTATAAACCCATTGCCTCAATGGAAACCAGGCTGTGAACTTAGCCAGCTAATGGGCAGGCACATATTTGCTTCTGCTACCTCTGCTGCAGATATTTCCTTCTTCGTAAGGAAAAAAAAAAAAAAATCTCCATGAAGGCCTAAGCACAGGGATATGGTGACCCAAGCTGCTGCAGAAAGATCTAGCAGAGCTTGTCAGTCTGTCAAGGCCATTAGCCCTTGTTTTCCTTTAAGAGGAGAAATCTGTTTCCTTGCAGCACGCAGCCATGCCTTTGAGATACGGCCAGTTCATGCAGCATTCATTTCTTTTGTATCACGGTATTGCTGACTGTAATTTTTTAGCCTTTTCCCAGGCCTTTCATCTTCAAAAAGCTTAGCAAATCCAGGCATGGAATCTTGCCTTTGAGGTTACGTGAATGGAAATCAAGGGAGAATTCGCCATTTCCAGGGAAAATAATACTGTAGAAATTCTCCCAGAGTAACTGCAATTATAAATCAATCACCAACATTTTAAGACGCTCTATTATCAATAATTGAATGTGAATAAAATCCTAATTTACACTCCTTCGTCTCTTCTCTGTATAGTTTTCTTTCTTTCTTCCCTGCCAGAGACTGTTTACTAGATGGCTGAGTGGAAATCCAAGAATAACCTTTCTATTTATGGTGTTTCATGCATATGTATGTGCAAAGAGCTAATGTGCCTCATGCAATCGCAGCCGGGAGCTTTGAATCCCCACTAACAGCTCTGACAGTAAAAACACAGAGTAATGTGAGAAAAAGCACGAGGGAGAACCTGAGCTCACAACTGTCCTCTGAAGGGGGTGGGAGACAGCGAAGACATCCACCTCCTGTCCTGGCGTGAAGAAGACTAACCAAAGAGGAGGTCCAGCCATGGTTTGCCATGTTGAGCATCCCTCAGTTCTATGGAAAGTAGCTCCTAGCACACACTTTGTGTTGCAGACAACACACCCAGGGAAAGTGAGAGCTTAGCTCACCCTTTTTCCACCTCCTGACCTGAGAAAACCATGCTGGCCATGCAAGAAAGCTCTGCTTTGCAAAGTTAATTTCTGAAGGGTGCTGGTTTAATAGAGGCAGAGCTGGCTGGCTGCATCTCTCCACACTTCTCTACACATCATCTGACTCAAGCAGCTGCAAAGCTTTCCCTAAAACATAACCTAGCCCTAACCCAAAGGGCCCTCCATAGAAATGAGTGTCTGTGACTCATTAAACCCTGGGGCTTCTCTGCGGAAATGCTTCCAAAAGTGACAGCATGCTCTGGCTGTCAAAGTAGACACTCAACAAAATTGGCCAGTCACTGGTCACTGTTAATTAAAAACTAAATTTTGACTTCTGATCATGACTTTGGCAGCAGGAGTAGTGGAGGACGCTTCTTGCCTCACTTTTCTGCTTAGCGGAGTGAGGATGGTTGAAGCACTTGGGGAGACGGGAACACAGGGAAATACTAATGATGAGAAACAATTTGTTATGTCAGACACCGAGGAAACTGAAGGCACTTTAGCTGGAGAGAAGTCATACAGGCAACAAGCACCTCTCCAGCTGGGTCTGCAACGTGGGAAGGCATGTACGTGCAACCAGGGCACATGGCTTGAAAATCCACGTTCTGTCTTGCCTTTACTGCGCGAGTCACAGTGCGATCTGCAGCGAGTCCCTCATGGCCCCCGGCTCTGCAACATGCACGGCACGTCTGGCAATGCTTCCTACCCCCAAAAAAGGTGTTTTTTTGCTGCTGTGTTTGTTAACATCTGCCAAGTGCTTTAAGCTCAGAGTATAAAAGTTGCTGGAGAAATAAATGTAAATCTGAGACGATGGTTGGTTTTTTTTTTTAAAGCCTTTTCTCAATCTGTCTTTCTTTGTAATTTTTGGAAAATAAAATGGTTAAAGCCTTGCAAATAAGCATGTTTCTTCGCTGTGCCATGTGCCAGCTACTCCAGGCAGATATTAAAAAGTATCACATTGGTTTTAATCAAAGCCCCGAGGACGCTGACAAATTATCAAAGAGAGAGCGAGAGAGAAAATTGAAATCTGCCATTTAGTCATGTCTTTGACATGTCGCTAATTAACAGATGGAGGAAAAATGAGGAAGTGCTGCCTGAATGGATCATTTCAGAGCTAAATCAGGGGAAAAAGCAAACAAATAAACAAAGCCCAACTGATTTCCTACCTTATTCCGGGTCTGGGTCTGTCCGATCAGGATGAGAGCGTTGGAGGAGATGATGGATAGGCAGAAGTTGATAAGAATGACGGAGCGCTCTGAGCGAATATACCTGCAGTAAGAGAAGAGGGGGAAGGAGACCCACCCTGTTACATCTTCATTAAATTACCTCTGAAAAGCATCAACCAGGGGCAGGTTGCACTGGGTGAGGCTCTACAGAAGGCCATGGTAAGAGATTGCCCATTTCCTGCAGATCTTATATGTTAAACAGACAAGAACGAGCGGAAAAGGGAGGGGGAGAGCTTGGGTGTAGTGCTCAGCCCACAGATATCTCCATCCTCCCCCATCAATGCTGGAGTTATGAGCATGAGTTAACAAACTAGGAGCCAGCCTGGTCCCTAGTCTGAGCCGCTCCTAAAACAGTAGAGTGCTGCAAGTCTTCTTCAGCTCTGCTTACTTGAAAGGGGACTTGAAAAGGAGCTTGAAAGAAAACATACACGCACACATGGAAAGTTTCCCAAATAAGAAGAGCCACAGGCATGCTGGCAATGAAAGCAGATTACGAATGCATGCACCTTCACAACAAAGTGTTTGTGATTCAGCATTCCCCTTTGTTTAACCTAACAACCCATCCTGAAGTATTTGTAGCTATTTTCCCTTCCTCCCCCAGATGGAGAGGTTTAACACTTCTCAAAACTAGGCCAAATCCGTAACTGGAGCTGTGAGTTTGGGACATCAGGGATCCAAATTTGGATGTTGTTGCCTTCAGCACCTTGCAGGAGTGAGCTATTTGTCATTTCTGATTAGCGGTGTGCAGCACAGCACCAACTTGCTGCTGAGGTATGTGCACGACGATTCATTCAAATCACTGGCTACGGAGGAAAATTTCTTTGAAGGCACTTTTATGTACCTAATAAAATTAAAAGGAAATTGCAAAAGTGCAGGTCCTCAAGGATTGACTCCGGACCTGACCATACCAACACTCATACATGTGAATAATCTCAGTGCTTCAGCAAGTGCTCTGCCTGAATACAAGATGAGTGAAGAGTAGATGCTGATGCTTATAGAAATTAGAAACAGATCTGTTAATCAACCAGCTCATCCCTGGAGGCTAATGCAGGATTACTTCCTATATTCCAGCACATCAACTATTTATATTGGGAATTTAATTTCATTAACTAATTTTAGCAAGAGCGACTCGTTCGTGCTTTGGCTGCAGAGTTTTTAGTTTCTGACTAGGTAGGCAGGACGAGTTACTGCATGTGTGTGTTCTGCCAAGGGTAAATCTGTGCTTCAGACCTACTGAAGGCTGAAAAACTTTGATTTTAACTTCCCTTCGGTTTTACCTTCGGACAAACATGAACGTTGAGGATATCTTTCCTGGATACAAAAAAGTCACCAATGCAAAGTAACCTGAACTAAGTTTGTTGGAAATCTGGTTTATAGATAGTTCTCCCTGAAACTCACCCAACCCCAGAACAGACTACAAAGTTTAGACTTCCAGCTCAGCTAGAAACTGTGTTGACTGCCTGCAAAATGAGGCTCTGGTTCCTTTCATGGCCAATCTGATCCCAAATTTCCCCATTTCATTGGGCTCGATGCAATGCTGTGCATCACCTGGATCCTATTCCACTTGTGGCTGAAGGGTACCGAGCCATCAATCTATCTACACTTCAACTGTGTGAAGTAAAACATCAAGTCTTCAGTCATCAGCTTCTAGGGGATAGAAAGGGAGATTTGTATTCTGTCCTGGTGGTAACAAGATGTAATAAATCTGTGTAGCAACACTATGATCCAACTGGCATTAGCGTGAAGTTCGAAAGTCTCCTCTGGTCAAAAAAAGGTAAGAAACGAATTGAATATGTGAATATAAGGGAAGATAATCCATCTATCTTTAGACTTTTTTCCCCCCTTAAACAATCTTCTACTTTCTCCATGTTTCCCTTCATGCACTGAACGTCTATCCTGTTCCCTAGATCCCTGAACCTCCAAAGAATGAGACGTGGGTTGGCAATGTGTAGAACCACTCAATCAGAATAATTTATGTTGGGGGGAAATACTCTCGAGTTCCCAGTCCAATCCTCTGCTAAAAAAAGGGCTAATTTCCAAGTCAGATCATCAGGTTTCACAGGGTCTTTTCCAATCAAGTTTTGAAAATCAGCAAGAACAGAAATGCTACCACTTCTCTTGGATGACTCGTTACAATGCTTAATTGCTCTCACAATGAAGGTTTCTTTTTCATTATATTCAGCCAGACATTTTTTCCCACTGCAGCTGATGCTTCTAGACTCTTCCCTGTATACCTCTGCAAGTTGTTTGACTTCTCCATGGTTCCTTCTTAATATCCTCCTCCTCTCCAAGCTAAGCAAGCCTTTGCCTCCTTTTACATCTTGATCTCTGGGTCCCTAAGCATCCACTGGACATGCTCCGATGTGCTGACATCTCTTGTATCAGGGGAGTCCAATACTGGGCATACTTTTTCCAGATGTGGCCTCAAGAGTCTCAAGAAGAGGGGAATAATCAGTTCCCTTGACTACAGCCTATGTCCTTGCCTATATAGCCAAATATAATGTTGGCATTCATTACTGCATGGGTGCACTTCCATATTGTTGCCCACTAGGACCTGCAGAGCTTTCCCTGTGGAGGCATCACCAAGCCAGTCAGTCCCCAGCCCATCCTGCTCCATGTGGTTATTCTGTCCCAGGTGCAGGACTGTGTCTTTGTCTTTGTTGTACCATACTTTGTTGTATGGGCTGTTGTCTCCAGCCTGTATTTCCAGTGTGCTGAGCTCCTTCTGAACAGCAGTGCTGCTCTCCAGCATACAATTTGGCATCATCCTGCTGAAGGTGAATTTTGCCCCATTGCCCAGATTGTTAAAGAAGACATTAAACAATATTGGCCATGGTATCAATCCTTGTCAGATGCAGTTAGTAACCAGCTCCTGATTAGGCTTCAAACCTTTGACCATTACCTGTTAAGCCTGCATAAACTCCATCCAGCTATTAAGCCACCTTAGAAGCCACCAATCCAGTGCACAGTTCCCTGGTCTGGATACAGAGATGCTATGGGAGACTATGTTAAAGGCCCTGGTAATGTTAAAATTCTCAACACTTATTTCTCTCCACTGTCCATGCAGCCAGTCAACTCATCACAAAAGAGAAACAGGTCAGTCAGGTGCAATCTCCCCTCAAAAATATGTGCTGTCTATTCCCGATCGCCTTCTTGTCCATCATTTTGCCTGGAAATAATCTTTGTAACTACTTGCTCCTTAATGTTCCCAGCAGCTGTGGGTAGGCTGACCAGACAGTTGTTCTCTGGATCCTCCTCCTCGCCCTTTTTAAAGATGGATGTAACATTTGCCTTCTTCCAGCCACCAGGAACCTCTCCAGATGATAGAGAGTGGCTCTGCAGTAACATCAGCCAGCTCTCTCAACATCTTCGAAGCATTCCATTCAGTCTCACCGTCTTGCAAATGCCCAGCTTACTCAAATGGTCCTCAACTCTCTCTTCCCTGGCAGTGGGTAGTATTTTCTTCCCCAGATTCTGCCAGTAGGAACAAGAACTTGGGAGTAAACCTTGCCAGCAGAACAAGGCAATCAAGGCACTGACTACCTTCATCTTTTCTACTTCCTTCTCTGTTAGGCTACTTGCCCCATTCAACACTGAGCCAGCACTTTCCTGGGTAATCCTTTGGTGCTGATGTACCTACAGAAACCCTTCTTAATGCCTTTCACACCCTTTACTAGTTTCAAATGCAGCTGAAGTCTGACCTTCCTAATTCAATCAGACATTCCTGGGTGATGCTTCCATAGTTCTCCTTGGTAGCCTAACCTGGATACTAAACATTCCCCTGTTATGTTTAAGCTCAATCAGAAGTTCTCCATTATGCTAAGATGGCCTCCTGCCATGCTCGCTTTCTTCCTTCCATTTCCTTTTCTCCAGCGCAGGACGCTCCACAGAAAGAAATCACCATTACTATCCAGACCCTCTGGTCAAAGAAGGCAGGAACTCATAGCAGAGAGGGGAAAAACAGAACTTGATGGGTTTTGCCAGAGGAGAGATGTACAGCAAAAGAAGAGCTGCTCCAGGGTACTGTCTCCCTCTCCCTTGGCTGATATATGAACTCTGCCTGCTTATCAAAATATGCTGTACTTGGTCCTCAAAGCAGGGCGAAACTCACTGCAAATTTAGGGAACTTCTGCTCCGGCCTGGGTCCTGTGGGATGTGGGGAAACCCTGTGCAAACTGAGACAGATGGAAAAGGTGGGAAAACCCCACAGTCTGTCTGTCTGTCCCCATTACACTCTCCTCCTCTCCGCAAACACTGAGTCACTCTTGTTTTCTCACTGTGCATACACACATCCTTCTCCATGCAGTCA